TAACTTTTTCAAACTTCGGTTGACTGTTTGTTCTATAAGAAAAGATAAAGGTTACTGAAGCGGTTTTTGTTTTGTTTTCTCTTTCCCTAGCCTGTGGCCAGCTGTTAGATGAGGCACAAGTGACCTTATCCTTCCAAGACTGGCTGGCCAGTGTCACAGAACGCATCCATCAAACCATGCACTATCAGTTTGATGGTACGTATTGGTTGCCCAACTGGGCTGTTGTAAAAGTAGGAGAAACTCAAGTAATTGTGCTGTAGTTCTACTCTTTTAAGGTTTTCACTGGCCAGTTTTTTTAGAAGTAAATCACCAGGTCCTTCTTCCTAGTCTGTCTTAGGCTGGGATCTCTGATGAAACCTGTCCACCATGGGTGACCCTGCTGGTATTTGAAATACCAGTGGCATAGCTTCCAGCATCACAGCAACACATGAGCCACAAGAGTACAACACACTGACACAGGAGTGGTGGAATAATAAAATCAGGAAAGGTGTGCATCGAGGTTGTATCCTTTCACAATACTTATTCAGCCTGAATGCTGAGCATGTAATTTGAGAAGCTGCAATATATGAAGAATGAGGCATCAGGATTGGAGGAAGACTCATTAACAGTCTGTGATAAGTAGATGACACAACCTTACTTGCTGAAAGCAAAGAGGACTTGAAGCAGTTACTGATGAAAATCAAAGACTGCAGCCTTCAGTATGGATTACTCCTTAACATAAAGAAAACAAAAATCTTCACAACTGGACCAATAAGTAACATCATGATAAATGGAGAAAAGATTCAAGGATTTCATTTTGCTTGGATCCGCAATCAACGCCCATGGAAGCAGTAGTAAAGAAATCAGATGATGTATTTGCGTTGGGTAAATCTGCTGCAAAAGACCTCTTTAAAGTGTTAAAAAACAAAGATGTCACTTTGAGGACTAAGCTGCGCCTGACCCAAGCCATAGTATTTTCAGTTACCTCATATGCATGCGAAAACTGGACAATTAATAAGGAAGACCGAAGAAGAATTGATGCCTTTGAATTATGGTGTTGGCGAAGAATATTGAACATACCATGAACTACCAGAAGAATGAACAAATCTATCTTGGAGAAGTACAGGCAGAATTCTCCTTGGAAGCGAGGATGGCAAGACTTTGTCTCACGTACTTTGGACATGTGATCAGGAGGGACCAGTCACTAGAGAAGGACATCATGCTTGGTAAAGTAGAGGGTCAGCAAAAAAGAGGAAGACCCTCAACGAGACGGATTGACACAGTGGTTGCAACAGTGGGCTCAAACATAGCAACAATTGTGAGAATGGCACAGGACTGGGCAATATTGTACATAGAGTCACTATGATTCAGAACCAACTCAATGGCACCTAACAACAATAGTTCTACTCTGTTTTGAAAGGAAAGGTAATTGGACTTCAGTCCAGAATGCACTGGGGTGTAAGAAAGTAGAAATCTAATATGCTCAATAACAACAACAACAAATAAATTATATTAAAAAAAAAGAAAGAAAGTATAAATTGAAGTGAAATCTAGTTAAAATGCAGGCCCAGCAAAATGAATTTGGAGATGGAAGAGAAAAAACACAGCAAATAAGTAAAGGTAGATAGCTCTGATGTTCGATGTGTGCGTCTGTCTGTCTGTCTGGTGAAGAGATACCAAAGCCTTAGAAGATCATTCTAACCCACAAATTGAAGATAGGGGGGAAAAGTTTAGAGAAAAACATAAGAGACTAAAGTAGTTATGTGAGATAACATTGACATGTGTCATGGATTGAATAGTGTCCCCCCAAAATATCTGTCAGCTTGGCTAGGTCATGATTCCCTGTATTGTATGATTGTCTACCATTTTGTAATCTGATGTGATTTCCCTATGTGTTGTATATTCTATCACTGTGATGTAATAAGATGGATTAATGGCAGTTATATTGATGAGGTCTACAAGATTAGATAGTGTCTTAAGCCAATCTCTTTTGAGATATAAGAGACAGAAGCAAGCAGAGAGTCATGGGAACCTCATACCACCAAGAAAGCAGCACCGGGAGCAGAGCGCGTCCTTTGGACCTGAGGTTCCTGCACTGAGATGCTACCAGATCAAGGGAAGACTGATGGCAAGGACCTTCCTCCAGTGCCGACAGAGGAGAAAAAGCCTTCCCCTGGAACTGACACTCTGAATTTGGACTTATAGCCTACTGGACTGTGAGAGAATAAATTTCTCTTTGTTAAAGCCATCCACTTGTGATATTTCTGTTATAGCAGCACTAGATGACTAAGACAGCATGTTTCCACGGATTGGAAAACACAGGCTCGATCTGGGTGTGATTTGTTACAGCATCCGGAACCTCAGAGATTTCAGAAGAGGACCATCTAGCCAGTCCCTACCCATCACCTTAAAAGAATCCTTGCTGGATGGTTTTCCAGGCTTTGTCCAGTGATGAGAAGCTCACTGAGTGTTGAGGCAACGTGTAACATTATTGGACAATAGTAGTAGTGACGAAGGTCTTTCTCATGCTAAGTGGAAATGTGTCCTTATGATATTTCTTGTTGATTCTAGTTCTGCATGTGGAATCACGTGGTCTGTTCCTGTTTCCAAATAACAGTCTCTGCCACTGCACACTACCGGGCCTCTTTCCTCGTTCAAGCGACACACCCCAGGTTCTTCAGACACTCCTCGTGGCATATTTACAGACCTTATATCATCTTGATGTTCTTTGCTTTCTTTTCATATTTTTATGAATATCTTTAAAAAAAAAAGAGCACCCTGAACTAAATAGTAGCCTGAAAGCAGGTGCAAAGTGGGATGAGATGAGTTTTGAAGGATTAGAATAGTTATGACTTTATGGGAGAAAGATGAGGCAGTCTGCTTCCATAAAGATTTACAGCCTTGGAAACTCTATGGGGTTGCTATGAATTGGAATCGACTCAACGGCAGTGGGTTTTTTTTTTTTTAAGAGAGACAAGAATGGAAGGCCTTGAAATACATGCTTAGACATTTGAATTTTTAATTCAGAATAAGGAAGACTTCAGAAATTACTTCTTAGAAAAACAATAAAATAAGCTAAGTCGGGTTATAAAGAGAATCTTTTTTTCTTTTAAATTTTTGTTTATTGTTTTGAAATGATATGATAAATACAGAAAATAGAACACTGACAAGAATGTAAACACTCTGTGTGGTCCTCCACCATCCCATCCCTGTACTGCCCCACCCGAGTTAACCCCTCTCACCATCTCCATCACCCCGCCTTTGTCCAAGCCACCATCAGCTCTTTCTGGACTGTGAGTCTGTATTTTTATGAGTGCTTGGAGATTAATTCTCAAACCTAAGCTCTATCATCATATCAGCTGGGTTCTGGTTAGTTGGCACTTCTTTTAGAGAGAGCTGTAACGATCCTTGTATGTAGACATAATCTAATTTCAGGATGAAAGATTTTAAAATTCTCTCAAGTGCCCAGATATTAATATTTTAGTGGCTCAAAAGCTGTGACAGTTTTGTCGCTGACATTCTGCATTGAATGAAGTAGGTAAAATCAGTCGAAAGAATGTATTTTTTCCTATGAATCCTAGAAATTAGTTCATTTTTATTTTTCTTGGCTCAACCTTTGTTTCAAAAAGGCTTCTGACCATCTGTCTTTAAAAGTCTTTCTTTAAGAGATGGTCTTTAAGTGGTATCCAAGCTGATAGAAATTGTTTATCCACCTGGTTCTGGATGTTTTCCCTCTGCCGGGGCTAGCCCCTTGGGCAGAGTTGTTAAAGGAAAACTCTGAACTCATTGGACCCTTCCCCTGAACTCTCTTTCTGTGCCCACATGGCCTATTGACTTATTGTTAATCTGGTATCTTACAAGTTTCTTTAAGAGATTTGTGAAGTATTTCCAAACATTTTGCGTGCCTTGACGTCGTACTCAGGACTGATGCTTACTGGCATAAATGGTGTCCCTGCTCTGTGGTCCCTTGGCATCCATGGTCCTGATGGTTTGAGTGAGTGCATGAGGTTGCTTTGCTAGGGATAGTGTGCAGGAGTGGATCGCGTGGAGGCAGCTAGATACCTTCTTCTCACCTCTGTGTCATCACTCGCATCTTGTCTCATCTCACATACCCTGTAAGAGGAAAACTCTGGGCAATGGTGGTGTTTACAAAATTGGGCATTTGAAAAATTATCCTTGGTGGATGACAAGGATCTACTGTATTTTTTATAATTTCAAGGGATCAAGAGTAGGACTGGTAACAGTGCTTGGCTCACAAAAGTCAAAGCCTTCTTTTTCCTCTTTGTAAAGAAGCCTCAATGGTAATAATACTTTTTCATTATCTCTGCCCGTCCATTCCATTTCTTCACTTCTCCCCACCCGTCAGAAAACCTGCTGAGTTCCTTTCAGTGAGCTGCTTCTTATTTCCTATAGGCAAACCAGAGCCGTTGGTGTTCCACATTCCTCAGTCCTTTTTTGATGCCTTGCAACAGAGAATCTCTATAGGAAGTACAAAAAAACGGCTCCCCAACTCCACCACAGGTATGGAGTTTTTCCTCAGGAATCTCAATAGATGTCTTGACCTTGGAATTTTCAGGGTTTTAGGACTTCCAGTCATAGGCCTAGAGCATGAAGCAAGCCTCTGCTAAACAGTCCTTAGAATAATGACCACACTCTTCAAAGGCCCCATTTATTCCAGTAAGAGTTAATGGAAATTCAGACAGTGCAAACTTGGGAAATGATGAATGATGATATGTAATTATTAAAAAGGTGCCCACCAAGAGGTTTGATATTTTTGAGAAAGAAACCAATTTCCACAAAAGCATCACATTCCCCGATAGCTATTTGGACCAGGTTGGCTTCTTGAAACATATGATACTATATGTCAAAAAATAAAACTTTTCTGTCATGATTCCTAATTTTTCGTGAAGGAGTATTTTATTTTTAGGGTAATTTAGCCTTGAAACACTTTATAATTACATTATTCTGATACTTACTTTTTGGTTTTTTATAACATCTTTCTACTAGAGATTTCAAGATACTTAGTAGTTGAGAATTAAGGGAGAGGAAAAGAAAAAGGATTGCTCAGTGACAGATAGTCCTACGGTTAGAAACCAATGTTATTTCTTTGGTAAATTGTTATTTGATATTACAATAGTGACTTCTTGAGGTTTAAACCTGTTTTTGAATAGTGTAAGCTGTGAATCACTTATGTTTGGGGCTACACAGTTTATCTTCACAGTTTTATCGATCTCACTTTTGAGGCAGTGTTGGGTCTTCATTCTAGTTTAAACTTCAGGCCTAATACACTGAATTCACCCATCCCTCAATTATTTTTGCAGGCCCTTCAGTGGAACCCTTTTATAATCCTGCAGGCAGGGTAGTGGATCAGCAAGTACATTAGCAAGCTTAAACTCCATGTAATTGTTTTGAAGGCTGTGATTTGACCTCTGATATATCTACAGTTGTAAGCGGCTGCTTTATAATGGGGTCCTATGCATGTAACTTTACCAAACAAATAAACAGGTTTCTAAGGTAACAAAAATAATTAGCATCTCAAAGAAGCATCAAACAAGGACTTTCTATAGCAAAAATCCACATTATTGAATTTGTCACACTTCAGCCAAACTCCTAGAATTTCTTTTTAAAAGTGCTGAGATTCTATGAAGAAAGATAAGCCCTGCACTGAACTCTGCAGAAATTAGGGAACCAATACAGTGAAAGAGAATGGCTAATTTTGTCCCCTTTTTACATTGCAGCTTTTGTTCGGAAAGATGCCTTGCCACTGGGAACCTTTTCCAAGTATACCTGGCATATCACTAACATCCTACAAGTTAAACAAATCTTAGATACCCCAGAGGTAAGAGTTTATTTCCACAATAATAGGAGGGTGGAGAGGGGAAGAACAGGAAGTATGAGAAGTACATTTGCACCAGTTCCTTGAGGTATAGAAGCCAAAGAGAGTTCTTGTTTTTCATGCTAAGAAATTATTCAGAAATATCTATGGTTTTATAGTTCTGACTCTCTGATTTTAACGGGTTTTCCTCATGGCTTGAAATTGGAGTGTGCTGTTTCCAGTGTCTCTGTGTTTGGGTGGGGTGAAAATATACACAATGAAACATGCATCCGTTCAACAATTTTTACACGTGCAATTCATTGACAGTGGTTACATTCTGCACGCTGGGTTACCATTCTCACTCTTCGCCTCTGTTGTTTTGCCGCTGTTAACGTATACTCACTGCCCTTAAAGTTCTCATCTGGGCTTTAGAGTTACTGTTGTCATTTCAGTCTCAGATAGGTAATTCTTCAACAGGCCACGATGCTCAAGACAGACATTCTTTATTTATTGAGCTAAATTGTTTAGTTTAAAGATGACTTCATGGGATAGTTTTGGCTTAAGGTTCCAAAGTTATTTTCAGGCAATAGAATCAGGGTCCCTCTGTTTCCTGTGTCTTTGGAATCAGAAAACAGAGAAGATTTTTCTTGTAAATTGAATAAGGATTCCCCTAGTCACTATGATGAGCCCTAGATTTGGTTGGCCAGCAGCTAGAAAGTATGTAAATAATTTGAGATGATCTACTGTTTGTGAAGTCAGCGTGTCCAACACAGCCAAACCCTCCTCCTCAAACTGCAATTGTGTTCTCATTAAAGAAACAACCCTGAATTAGTTTATGTTCTCTTTCCCAAGGGAAATCTTAGATGTTTTCAAGGATTTTTTTCAAGCAGATCCTGGAAATTTGAGAAGGATTTTTCAGTTATATTGTAAAAAATTCAGCATAGTATGGTTCAACTCATTATATATTAAAATTAGCTTAATTACAAGACATTGTCATGTTCAGAAAAAAGTATCTTTGTTTGGTAGAAAGGACTGCTCAGTGACAAATAGCCCAAAAATCATGACACGTGAGCCCTAGAAAAGGCCTGTGTTAGCACAGAAGACACTTGAGGAACTTCTTAAAATGCAAGATGTCACAGAGGCAGCTTCTAGCCTGGGACAGGCAGCATTCAGGGAGGCACTGAAGCAACCCAGGGCAAAAGTCAAGTGAGGGAAGAGAGCTGTTGATCACTGAGCTTATTCTGTCTGTGCCTCACCTCATTTAATCTCCCAACCATGCATGGCTGGTATTAACTACATTTTACAGAGAAGGAAACAGGCTCAGAGAAGTTAGGGAACTTGCTCAGGGTCACCCTGCTGTTCAGTGGCAAAGACAGAATTTCGTTTAAGTACTGTCTGGCTCAGCACAAGGACAGTGTGATGCCCACGGGATGTGAGGTCAGCTGTAGGTGCTGTCGACAGAGTTTTTAGGAGAAGAATGCTTCTAGCAGAACAGTAAGCGAGGGGATAATGCTGATTTTAGAGCAGGTCTGTGCCAGTAGCAGTCAGATGCTGAGATTCAGTTGGCATATGGTTTGGCTGGGGTTCTCATTAAGGTTATAGAGACAAAAGGAAAGCCATGAATGATGTAAGGAAAGAAACTTTTTTTTTTTTTTTTGGATGATTATACACTCAGTAGTTTTATTAATACAATTCAAACTGAGGAGCTATCTTCTTTTGTTGTTTTTTTTTTTAAATTGTACTTTAGATGAAGGTTTACGGAACAAATAGTTTCTCATTAAACAGTTAGTACACATATTGTTTTATGACATTGGTTAACAACCCCACGACGTGTCAACACTCTCCTTTCTTGACCTTGGGTTCCCCATTACCAGCTTTCCTGTCCCCTCCTGCCTTCTAGTCTTTGCCCCTGGACTGTTGTGCCCCATTAGTCTCGTTTTGTTTTATGAGGCTGTCTATTCTTTGCTGAAGGGCGAACCTTGGGAGTGACTTCATTACTGAACTAAAAGCGTGTCCAGGGCCCATACTCTCGGGGTTTCTCCAGTCTCTGTCAGGCGAGTAAGTCTGGTCTTTTTTTGTGAGTCAGAATTTTGTTCTCCATTTTTCTCCAGCTCTGTCTGGGACCCTCTGTTGTGATCCCTGTCGGAGCAGTCAGTGCGGGTAGCCGGGCACCACCTGGTTGTACTGCACAGGAAACATTCTTGTGGACAGAATGAAAACACAAAGGGAATTTTTTTTTAAATTTTTTTAAATTGTACTTTAGATGAAGGTTTACAGAACAAATAGTTTCTCACTAAACAGTTAGTACGCATATCATTTTATGACATTGGGTAACAACCCCACGACATGTCAGCACTCTCCCTCTCGACCTTGGGTTCCCTATTACCAGCTTTCCTGTCCCCTCCTGCCTTCTAGTCCTTGTCCCTGGGCTGTTGTGCCCCTTTAGTCTTGTTTTGTTTTATGGGTCCGTCTAACCTTTGGCTGAAGGGTGAACCTCGGGAGTGACTTCATTACTGAGCTAAAAGGGTATCCGAGGCAAAGGGAATTTTTAATGAATTTGAATATACTTAACAAAAAAAAGAGAGTAAGTAAAAGGCCTATTGTCATCCAAGAATTTGTCTACTTTGAAAGTTTTTCCTCTCTCACATTTCTTGGTATTGTCTCGGTACCCAGATGCCCTTGGAAATCACCCGGAGCTTTATCCAGAACCGAGATGGGACTTACGAGCTGTTTAAGTGCCCGAAAGTAGAAGTAGAGAGCATAGCAGAAACCTATGGCCGGATAGAAAAGCAACCAGTGCTACGACCCTTGGAACTAAAAACTTTTCTCAAAGTTGGTAAGTTTAATTAGTGTTTTCAGTAGCACATCTTCCTTTGAAAGTCTACTGTGTGTATTACACTGTCCTAGGCTTTGGATCTTGACCTAAACAAAGAGGACACATTCATTTGTCTTGTAAAGCCTATGTGAGTAACCAGTCAGGCAGTCCTGGGATAAGGTGTTGTGTTTAATTTGAGCCAGCCTTTAAAAATAAAATTATAGAGGTTTTACATGTTCATTATATAGAAATCAAAGAGCATAAAGGAGAAGAATAAAAACTATCTACAATTCCACCCCCCATAGACAACAACTCTGTTGAGATTTTGGTGTATAACCTACCAGACTCTTCTATACATGAAAAACGAGTTTCTAAAACATGGGATCATACCTCAACTTCTTTTTCACCTATAGTACATGATGAACAGTTTTACATGTCTGTCTTCAACCTTATTTTTTTAAAAGCTGCATAAAATTCATTCATATATATGCACCACCCGCTAGTCAATCCCCTAGTTAGGTTGTTTCTAATTTTTTTTTTCCCCTGTATTGTACTTTAGATGAAGGTTTACAGAGCAAATTAGTTTCTCATTAAACAATCAATACACATTGTTTTGTGACATTGGTTGCCAACCCCACAGCATGTCAACACTCTCCCCTTCTCAATCTTGGAATCCCCCTTACCAGCTTTCCTGTCCCTGCTGCCTTCTCATCCTTGCCCCTGGGCTGGTGTGCCTATTTAGTCTCGTTTTGTTTTATGGGCCTGTCTAATCTTTGGCTGAAGGGTGAAGCTCAGGAGTGACTTCAGTACTGAGTTCAAAGGGTGTTTGAGGGTATTTCCAGTTTTTTGCTATTACAAACAATGCTGTCATTAACTTTCTTTTGATAAACCTTTTATATCCTCAATTATTTTCTAATTTATTTAGGATGTTTTCCTATTTAGGATATTCTTTGGGATAAATTCCTGAAAGTGCAATTACAGGGAAGAAGGATATGTACATTTCTAAGGCTTTTGATTATTTTTGCCACTCTGCTTTCCAGAAAGATTGCAGTAATTTATATAATGTACTCCTGCCAGCTGTGTATAAAAGAACGCATTGCTCTTTTTTTTTTTAATCTTTGTTGATTTGATAGGCAAAAAATGTTGTCTCACTGTTTTGATTTGTATTTCCCGCAGTATTAGTGAGGGTGAACTTTTACATATGTTAATTAGTATTTGATGAATTGCTTTTTCCTCATTCATTTTTAACTGAGGTATTGGTGTAATAATTTAGTAATAACAGTTACAGCTGTAACAAGCAGCACTTAATGAGAAACTTCTCTGTGTCAGGCACTGTTTTAAATGCTTTATGTATATTCATTTAATGCCCATCAGCCCAGTGAGAGGTGGATTCTGTGATCCCCATTTACAGATGAAGAAATCGAGGTAAAGACGGGTACAGTCTCCTACCCAGGGTCACACGGCTAGTAAGTGGTAGAGCTGGGCTTTAAGCCCAGGCAGTTTCAGACCTCAGAGCCTGCATTCCTCTAATCTAACCCTAACCTGTCTTCCCACCGCCTTGACATGAGTTCTTGCAACGCAATGAACTATGTCACTCTTGTTCGTCACCAGACTCCAAGATAGCATAATGTCTAGTCCATACTAGGCACTCAGGAAAGACTTTTTGAATGAATGTATGGATGAATGAATGAATGCCAGCCGTGATTTTAATTACTTTAGCTTTGTGATCCATCTAGCAGGCCCCGTCCCCTTCATTTCTCTAACTTGTGAGTTTCTTCCAGGAGAAATTTAGAATTTAGAATTATTTTTTCCAATTCTTAAAAAAAAAAAAAAAAAAGAAACCTAAAACCTGTTTTGATTGATTGGACATTTGCTGAATTTACAGATTAATGTGAGGAACTTAAAATATTCATTTTTCTATCCAGGACTATGACAGTGTCTCTCTCCTTTTATTCCAGTCTTTCAAATACCTCACTAGAGTTTTATAACTTCTTCATCTAGGTCCTACACATTTCTTATGAATATGTTCCTATATATATATATTTGCTGCTGTTGTGAATGGGATGTTTATCATGTTTCTAACTTGTTATTGTCAGTGTAGGAAAAGCTCTTCGTTTTGGTATATGATTATCAAATTGGTCCCTTAGTGAATTCCAAGTAGTGATAATAGTAACTCAGTTGTTTCCCCTCAGTTTCTGAGAAATAAGTTACATCACCTGCAAAATAATGATAACTTTGTTTCCTATCAAATATTTGTATCTCATTGTTTTTTCTGGTTAAATTAGCCAGGATTTTCAGAACAGCAATGAATGCTAAGCCATGTGTATCTTTTCAGACTCTAGGAAAAACTCCGGTGGAGCATTTTTCCGCTCTGTCTTGAAGAAGAGCTAGTAATAATACTCTGGGAAAAAAAGTGTTCGCTGGTCAGATAAGTTTGAGAAATGCTTCACATCATCCTGTTTCTTTGACTTTAAGACCCTTGACTTTAAGATGCTGAGTGAGAGTAATAGCTTTTTGGTGGGAAAAGAAACTTTACCATATGAGAGCTGCTCTGCTTGTGGTGTACACTGAGATCTCAGAAAATGTTAAAATTGGGATACAGAGGCCGTAGGGAGCAGTGTCTGAGAATATAATTTACTCCCTCTTAGGAATTCGCTCTATCAATTTGCATTTTTAAAATACCCTGAAATAAAAACACTTGTTGAACTTTACTTAACTGAGGTTTCCCAAACGTATTTGACCAGTGAACATTTTTTAGGGGAATACCATTAGTATTTTATAGAATTTTTTCTGGGAAAATCTGCTCTTATGTTTTACTACTGATTATTGTTTTATTGATTTCACATACTTTTTTTTTATTATTATAAGGACATATATTCTTATTGTTGTTGTTAGGTGCCGGCGAGTCACTTCCAACTCATAGCAACCCTGTGTACAACAGAAGGAAACACTGCTCAGTCCTGCGCCATCCTCATGACTGTTGTTATGGTTTAGCCCATATTCTTATTAGGATAATATTGAATTTTATGAAATGCCTTGTCTTAGTCATCTGGTGCTGCTATAACAGAAATACCACAAGTGGATGGCTTTAACAAAGAGAAATTTATTTCCTTACAGTAAAGTAGGCTAAAAGTCCAAATTCAGGGCGTCAGCTCCAGGGGAAGGCTTTCTCTCTATCGGCCTTCTCATCAGTGTTCCCCCAGACTAGGAGCTTCTTGGCACAGGGACCCCAGTCCAAAGGACGCGCTCTGCTCCCAGCACTGCTTTCTTGATGGTATGAGGTCCCCCTGTCTCACTGCTCACTTCTGTCTTTTATATCTCAAGAGATTGCCTCAGGACATAATCCAGTCTTGTAGATCCAGTCTTGCCTTACTAACACAACTGCCACCCATCCTCCCTCATTAACATCATAGAGGCAGGATTTACAACATATAGGAAAATCACTGATATACACATTTTTGGGGGGACATAATTCAAACCATGACATGCCTTCTTACTATCATTTGACCTACTAGTGCAAATGAATTTTATTAATAGATTTTTAATATTGAAATAATCTTGCATTTCTGGAATAAATCCTATTTGGCCTTTTTTTTTAGTATTGTAAAAATAGTGTGGCAGACAAGAGACAGAGAGGGCCATATAAACCAGAGACTTCATCAGCCTGAGACCAGAAGAACTAGATGGTGCCTGGCTACTACCGTGACCACCCTGACAGGGAACACAACAGAGAGTCCCTGACAGAGCAGGAGAAAAGTGGGGTGCAGAGCTCAAACTCTGGTCAAAAGACCGGACTTAATGGTTCGATTCAGATTGGAGGGACCCCAGAAGACATGGCCCCCAGACTCTCTGTTAGCCCAAAACTAAAACCATTCCCGAGGCTAACTCTTCAGACAAAGATCACACTGGAGTATGGGACATAAAATGATACTTGTGAAGAGTGTGCTTCTTAACTCAAGTAGATACATGAGACTAAATGGGCAGCTTCTGTGTGGAGGCGAGATGAGAAGGCAGAGAGGGTCAGGAGCTGGCTGAATGGACACGGGAAATCCGGAATAGAAAGGAGGAGTGTGCTGTCACAGTACAGGGAGAGCAACTAGGGTCACATAACAATGTATGTGTAAATTTTTGTATGAGAGACTAACTTGAATTGTAAACTTTCACTTAAAGCCCAACCAAAAAAAAAAAAACAAAGGCGTGGCGGAGGCGTCTGACCTCTTCTAACTTCACAAGGGGGAAAGAAAAACAAGATCAACAGCAAAAGGCTGATTCCTATGAGGCGGAGGTCAGACATACCTCCTCTACAACCTTCTTACCAATTCTGACACCCACTGTCCCTCCCACAGCTTTCTCTGCTTCTCTGCTGGGTTCGATAATTCATTGCAATGGCCACACAGAACTCAAAGACCATACTCACAGTTATGGGGTTTATTAGGGAAGTAACAGATTACAATTCAGGTTCAGGAATGCTCAGGATACAGTTCTTTGATCAGAACAGCCTTTTCTCAGTTGTGCCTGCAGGTACACCTCTCTCTGGCCCCTTGGCACAGCCTCTGCCCTGCTCAGGCAAGTGTTACAAAGCTCTTTTAGTTCAGCTGTTAAGTGCCCAGAGGCATCCTACTCCGCCAGTAAGCCTCAGCCCAGAAGCAGTCAGCTCTAGCTCTGTGGGTCGGCAAACCTAGCTCCATCAGGTGCCTGGAGGCACCCTACTCTGCCAGCAAGCCTCCTGCCTGAAGGCACTCAGCTTTCTCGCTCCATTGGCCAGGAAGCCCACCACCATCTCCTGCTGGTCTCCTGCCAGTCTCCTGCCTCTGCTGCCATTGTTTCTCTGCTGCTGCTTCTCACTGTCTTTGGTGTTGCAGCTCTCTCTCAGTCTCCTGGTTCTAGGAGCTTCTCGGTGCAGGGATCCTGAGTCCAAAGGACACGCTTCACTCCAGGCTCTTCTTTCTTGTTGGTGGTGAGAGACTCCCTTCCTGCCTCTGAGATGGCTCATTTTAAGCCTAGCAGGATTGCAGAACTGA